GGGGGAGGGGGGGGGGGGGGGGGGGGGGGGGGGGGGGAAATAATGGTCGTGAGTAGATTCAGTGACTGAAATGTAATGAGGCAGTACTCGAGAATCACCAGATCATCACTTATTATTTCATTATGACATTTGTTTTTGTGGCATTGTTTCCAATGCAAAGTTGAAGTTCGATGTTCCAATTTTTTGAGACAGTTTTAACAGCTGTTATCAGCAGTTTGATCGCAGAAGCTTTCTGTTACTTTTGATAGTTTGAAGAACTTTCGCTTGCCCTGCTCTGTTCGAATATCACGTTCTTCTCTCTGTCATTCTGTTTTCGTGCATTTTTGCTTTTGTGCTTCTGTTTTAATCTGCACTGAATCGTATTCAAAGCAAGTCGTAGCAAGCGTGTTAAACTGTTTTTTTTTTTTTCGTTGTGATAAAAAAAAAACACATAGTGTTGACAGCACATATATATTGCTTATGTATTTCAGTACGGGGATACCCATACTGAGAGTCTGAAAAGTCTTGATATTCTAAATGTTCAGTAACTTTATGCTAACTATGCTTAACTGCTCTACACACTGCTTTCGTTGCATGTAACTCGATGCACTGCTTTCCTCTCTAGCTTTATTGTATAATTTCCTCCAATCCAGTGCACCAGCTTGGTAAACCAAAGGTTAATTTTTGCTTCGTTTTGTCCCCTTAATTCCGAGCGTGTATCCAGTTTCAATTAAATTTTATACTTCTCAAAAAAAGGAAGTACGGAAAATCACCATTGGTAGAGGATTTCGAACCTCGTCGCAGAATTTTACGTTTGCTAATTTTTGTTTTCATTTCAGCTTCAGCCTAATTCTGTGTACATGCGGGATAGGACAGGCCTGAAATTAATCAAAATTAGAAGTTAAATTTTGGATGGCTAGTCTTGAAATTTATATAGGTTTAGTATTAAATCAATTTTTCATCCATTTCGAGATGAGATCTCATTATTTTTTATTTAGGCCTAATTTTTTGACGTCGAAACGGAGCATGCCACGCAGCTGAAGCCTGAGTATTTGACTTCTGTGTGGTTAATTAATTAAAATGAGGTCTAAATTGATCTCTGATCGGCTGCGAAGCATAGGCTTGTCTGACTCGAGTCGCTTGCAAGACACGTCCTACGGTTTTGCTGATTTTTCCGATGTGACCGGAAAAGCTGCGGTAAAAACTGTCTCAGCTATCCAAATTGCACTGGCAGAAATGCCCGGAAAATGCTTTATAGCGTTCCTGAGAGAGCGAAATAGACGGGGCTACTGCAGTGGCATTTCCCGGTACATCCAAATCATTCTGCACAGACAATAGCTGAATGCAAGAAAAGCATGCTCGCATCGACCACAAGATATGCCTGCTCTCCATTGTATTCATTCTACGTCCTTCAAAATCTCGTTCTATTTTAGTACGGTCAGTGCGGGGCGATGCCGCCAAACGACCAAACATTTGCCTTCATTTCTGGTTCCCAATCGTGATAGCCTCTGACCTCTGCACCGGTTCTTGGTTTTT